AGCGTTTGGTCACTAGAGCCTCATCAATAAAGTCCATGCGTGTACCCCACCTCACCCTTAAAAAAAAAACAAAAAAAAAAAATTTTAATAATAATATATATAATAAAAATTTGATAAAATATTTTAAATTGATAAAATTCAAAAAATAAAAAATAAATATAAATTTAATAAAATAATAAAAATTTTAACTTTATTAAGCAAAATATTAAGTTTTTAATAAAATAAGATTTTTAAAAAAACGAACAAATTATATATTGAATTATTTATACTAATTTATAATTAAAGTTTATATTATATAAATTTAATCAATTTGTTAAATTATTTATTTTTTAATCAAATAATTAATAAGTAATATTATATCAAATAAATTAATTTCTACTAGTAATAGTTCAATTTTTAAAAATTTTTTAATTATAACATATTTCTAAAAATATATATATATAATAAGTTTATATAATTTTAATATAAACTATATTTTAATTTAAAAAATAAAATAGTTATTTTTTTTTATAAGATTTAATAAATCAAAGTTATTTTACAAATATTATTTTTTATTTTTATAATTTTATTTGCTAAAATATTATATAAATCTAAACAAACTCTATAACAAGTCTTTTATTATATATATAAATTATATTGAAGATAATAGCTTTATAATAAAATAACAAAAATTCTCTTTAATAAAAGTTGGTTTTAGTTTGTATTAAAATAGATAAGTCAATTATTTGAAATATAATTTTTAATTTTTTTTGAATCAGACTATTAATTGCATTTTTCTTATAAAATTTTTCTAATACTAATTTAAAACAGAATTTTAATATACAACCTTTTTAATTTAAAAATATCAATAGGTTAAAATTGCATGATTAAACTGCACTAAAATATGAAATCTACAATCTAAAAAAACTCAATCATTTATTTTAATTTTTTTATTTGGTAATTCTTTCAATAATTATTTATCATGATTAAAATAATTATTATAATTTTAGTTCGTATTTTTTGTATATGTTAAAAAAGAAACCATTTTTCTAAGAGTGATAATATAGCGCTCATTGTTTAAATACTATTAAAGCAAAGCATCATGTCAACATGAAATAAATAAGATATTCCGATCATTAATTGTGTTAAGAGAATTCATATTATTCCCAAAATTTCATCGAAACCCATAGGCAGCCAATCTTGTTCATTTTTAACAAACATAACGTCATCTTGTAAATATAATGTGATTCCACCAGTACCTTCCGGGGTACCTCCCATACGATATATGGGTTTTCCTGAAGCTTTGTGAGTTTTGTTAGTAGGTAAGAACAGAAGATTGTTTTCCTGAGCAAATTCTTCAACAAGATCAAAGAAGGTGATCTCCTCATTATCAATTGTATGGGATATCTTCGAGAAGGAATGTTGAAATGAATCGAGGTTTGGATTTTGCTGTTTTGATGGATGTGACAGTCTAAAAATGACAGCAAATTTAGAAAATAATATATTGAGAAAGTGATCAACAAATTACAAAAGTCACTAACCTATCAATAGATTCTTTCCCCAGTGATATACTTTCTTCTATCAAGGACAGTCCTTTTGTGAACTGAGTCTCAATAACATGATTAGCGAGCATATCTGGGGGGAACATTGATTTCCAAAACATATACCTGTAAAAGATCTAACCTAAATACATTTCCACATTAAATTTTCAGAATGGACGCAAAAAACATTTAAATCTTACCACTGTCTTATTTCATCGTATTTAGGACGATTTGTTAACCATGTATATAGGGCATCCAACCATTTTGGGAAAAACTCTGACTCAAAAAGTTTACTAAAAACGTTGAGAGTAAACATGTGTTGCCATTTCATAACGCAATAGAAAAGATCTAATGAATTTTGATGGGAGGTTGTTGGAATCAATAATTTTTTTTAATGATTGCACACTAAACAATAATATACCTAATTCTTGCTTCCTCGGATTTATATGGAACCTTGTGCGTATCATTTCGGATAACTTCGGTAAGATAGATTTAGCAAGTAGTGATTGCATATCTGCAGGCTGAAGAACCTAAAAATTATTATTATTAAATGTTAATATTTAAACGGTAAGCGAAAAAACCAAGGCATAATTAATAATAATCATACATTTTTCCAGGGTTTCAAAATAGCAAATGCAAGAGAATCTGTGGGATCCCAATTCTGTAGAATAAGGCGAAATTTCTGGCGTATAGTAACATATAACGGATCCATCCTTTCTCCTAACAGAGGAAGCCAAGGATGTAACCACTGGTGTATCATGCCGGTATCCGTTTTTGGATTCCACATATCTACCTCCCGCATCAATTTTGGCATTATTAATTGATTCGTTATGTTATCGCAAATAAATACAGGTAATAATGGATTCCAGTTTTCAAGTAGGCGAATTACTGGGTCAAAATCCCGTGCATTCCAAGAATTGCTAGGTAAAAAAAAAATAAAAATAAATAAGAACGCATATCTAATATATGCATTACAACATTAACGATATATAATAATATATACTTTATAGCTGATCTAACTTTCGGAAGCCAAACGCTATACATCATACTCTCATAAGGAGTCATAGTCAACTCGCTGAAAAAAAAAATCGATTAGGAAATAATTTAAAATATAATTCATCGAACACGACATCTACCTCGAGTTTGATGCGTCATTGTAATTTTTTAAGTTGTTTTTTGGTGGAGTTTTTGTTATTTTGAATAAACTATTCCATTGCTGAAATTCGTGTATGCCTAACTTAGGATTTTCTAATGGATCCCAATTTGCCAAATACCGTTTGAACTATAAGAAAAAGTATAATGAGTGCAATTTATATTTCCAACAATCTTAATAAAATTTTTTTTGTTACAAACCACAGGAGAGATTATAGAGACCACTGCGGAATCTAAACCGTAAGTTATAAACTCATCTAAATATTCAGTTTGCAATCTTCGAAAATGATCCGAAAATATGTGTAATTCAGGAGAATCTACGGACAAAGCATTCGTGAGCAGTTCGTTACAGTCTTTAATGATGGATATCATTTCTCCAAGTCGGTTTATACCTAGAGGAAATAAAATACCTTGAGGACTCAATCGTGAGGAAAAAAAATATAAATTGTGATAGTAAATAATTTACGTATTGCCTCATCTTCTATTAACGTGGAAATTTTTGTCATCTCTTGCTCGAGCGATTTTTTCTTTTCACTCTGAATTCTAAGTTCCCTTGTAAAATGTTCTAGATCTGATTTAGACATATCTACTATTAAACGGAGGTTATGACGAAGTTCCGGAAGACGTGAAGATTCATCCAGTATTGCGTGAGATTTAATTTGGTTTGCTGAAGAAAGCTCACGAGCCTGTATAACGAAAAATGTCCTTATGCATTAGATAAAGCATAATCATAAAGATTGACTGAAAATTCCAATTGCACCTGTGGGCCAGTCATGTCTATAATTTTCATCGGCTGAGGAGCAGCTGATGTTGTTTCATCAATTATCTCGTCTGCAGTCTTATATTCAGTTTTTGTTTTTTTTTGTTTCGAAGACTTCTTCCAAGCGTTCTTCTTTTCTTTCGGCACTTTTTCATCCTTATCATTTCCAGTAGAACCTTGCCTAAACATAGATATAGTTAAACTATTATAATAAATTTATCATAAAATGATTAATGTATAAATTTACTTTATCTCGCCCTTTTTTACTTGATCAGTCTTCTCATCGAATCCACGATATGCCAATCCCATTTTGGATGGACGTATCTTCGTCTCGATTGGATTTACAATACCTTTACCTTCTGTTCCAAGACCTTCTCCCTAGTAAAATAAGGTATTAAATAAATCCATATACATGTAATCAATATTAATTTACCAAATCTTAACAATCTTACTATTTTATATCCCATTTTCTGCATAAGCTTAAGACCAATTCCTCTAGTATGTTGTTCAAATTTCCCGAAATTTTTATCAACGTTACGCGTATGTTTAATTGTTTCTTCAGGTCTTATATTCTGTCGCGAATTCGTCTGAAATTTTTTCTTTTTATTTTTCGTTGATCCAAACTGCATATTAATCATATCATCAAGTATCGCGGATTCCGTATCCTTTCCATTATCTAAACCTGCACCTAATCCCAATTTTTGTTCTTCCTCCATATCCACTCTTTGTGATCCAAACCCCAGTCCACCATAACCTTCGGACTCGGGTTCTTCGTCCATCTCAATTTCTTTATAGTCTTCATTGATCGAATCATCTGAACTATCCTCGTGAATTTCTTTATCTACAGTCGCTTCTTTTATAGCATTACTTGATTCCGATGATATAAATTGCATTTCACTACATTGGATGAGGTGAAAGTCAGAGAACTAATGAACGCGCCTTAAAATTAATTAAATTTAAATATATAACCTTTTTTTCCTATATATACTTGTATCTTCTTCATTATCTTCAGCCCAAATTCCAAGATATGCCTCTTCTTTAGTAAATTTGCGACGTTTATGATGCCTTAAGGGATCTATAAAAGTAGTTTGTATTAAAATGGGTATGCTTTGCGACTAAATTAGAAACTAACCTACTACGTACTCTCAAACAACTCTGCTTCCTCTGCCAAAAGAGAATCTGAAATATTAAACGATTCTCCTTCACTCTCGTTAGAAGAATCAAGATCATCTTCAATATACCCTCTACGCGGCATTCTGTCTTTTTAATAATATTTACAAACCAATTTTTTAAGAACTTTTGGTAAAAATTATTCACGTGATTGTTATTTTTGCACTTTTTTTAATTAACAATTAATAGTAAATTAAAAATTAAAATATTTAAATTTACAAAGTTATAAAATTATATATTTTATTTTTAATATTATAAAAAAAATTATTTTAAAATTTAAAAAATCTTACAAATTAAAAATTATATAAAAAATTAAATTTATTTTATTAAAATTTATAAAATTTTTATTTGTAATCAATTTTTAATACTCAAAAAATTAAATAAATATATAAATAAATATATTATTGTAATTTTTAAGTTTAAACTTTATTTTATTAATATTTATACAATAGTTTTTGAATAACAGATAAATAAAAAATTTCAAAAAATTTTGCAATATATTATATATAATTTTTTGATTATTGAACTAAATAATTTATTTTTTAAAAAATTAATAACAATATATATATATATATTTATAAATTAATTATATCTTTTTATTAAAGAAAATATAATTATTTACCATAAACAGACATTAAATACAAGATATTTATTAAACATTGATTTATTGTTATTATATTAACAATCTTTAAGATATATAGAAATTAAATTAATTGTAGCCTAAAAATATAATTATTTACTTTTTTTTTTTTTTTTTTTTAGAGGGAAAGCATATTATATGCAACAATTTTTATTAACTTATGAAACAATGTTACAACCGTACATAAAGAATCTGATTAACTGTTTCTAGCTATTCTAATCCTAGTACTCCTCTAACTAATCTGACTGTACCAACTTACACCAAGTAGATGGGTTTGTATGTCAGGTGTGGACTATTCGAAGGGCATGTACCTATTAACTGTCACTAGGGTCCTTATCACTTTCTCACCTCCGGTTCATGCTTTTGCGGTATTCATGGGCTTACTTCTTTACACTTCCTAATAAATGCTTCAAGAGTTTCCTAAGGTTGGCACAGACTACCAAATCTGGGAGTTTTCACCAAGTGGGCGTGACTCCTGAATCTCCCAGTAGACACTCCTTAGGATT